TGAAAAAATTTATAATTAATTTTTATAATTGAAATTGAGAAAAACAAAAGTTACACACAAAAATGAAACATAATAATTGTTCACTTCCTAATATAAAATCAAAAAATTTCACAAATTCCACTAGTGAAATTTGAAAATAGAATTTGAACCTTTCAAAATTTGTTATTCAAATTCTAAGAATTTTGATAATTTTATTTTTTTATTTTTTAAAATAAAATAAAATTACTTTTTAATTTTAAAAGTCTCTTAACAAATAAAAATATTTCGTCGAAATTTTTTATCCAAATGCATACTAAATGCATTTGTCCCTTAATTAAAAGTATAAGACAATAGAAATGAAAATTGATTTTTCATGTCTCCTAATTAGGAGTATAAGAGAATACATTTATTATAAAATTGTATACATATGGTATTTAAAATATTAAACGGTATTTAATGACATTGATTAAAATAATATTAGAAAATGAAATTAATGTAAAATTTTTAAATTTGATAGAAATAGTAAATTAAATGTAAAAATTTTCTAAAATAATAATTAAACAATCTTTAATCATGCTTAGAAGCATCCGGTAACCGAATCTTATTAAAAACTAGTAAGTTATTAACCAAAAAATAAAAGTTACTAGAATGGTGAGCTGTGTAGTATTTTTTTAATATTTAGAAATAATAAATTAAATAATAATTAAAAAATTCAAGATCAAAACCAAATAAAAATAATATTTAAGGTATTTAGTTTGTAAATTATTAGTTTTTGAAAAGAAAAATAAGAGAAAGTAATATTGAAAGTGAATGAATGATGTTTGATTTTATTGACTTAAAAAATATAAGATTTTTGTATTTGGTTTATAATAATACAAGATTAATTAATAAGGTCATTTATTATATTATTATTGATGATATATAAATAATATATGATATTTATAATATGTTGCATGTGAATAGCACATTTTTTTCATTAAAATTAAAGAATTTTGATAAATAATTTTGTTCATATTTTTAACGAAAATAATTTTACAATCATAATTACTATCTTAATATTAATTATCTTTGCACGAAGAAAATAAGTATATTAACCTGCATTGTTAGGTCAATGTGGTGGAAGGGGTTTAAGGGATTTATTTACAAATTTTATATGTAATAATATTAAATAAATATATTTTAAAATTTATATATAATAATATTAAGTAAAGATTATTCCAATATTCGATGCCTTTTTTTAATTTTAAAAACATGATTTTTGTTAAAATTATATAATTTTGAAAATATAATTTTAACATCTATTGTGTTTTTTTATTTTAAAAATTTCATCTTTATTAAAATTATAGAATTTTGAAAATATAATTTTAATATCCATTGCATTTTTTATCTTAAAAATAAGGTTTTTATTAAAATTTTAGAATTTTCAAAGTATAGTTTCAATATTCACTACATTTTTATACTAAAAATGCGGTATTTATTAAAATTACATAATTTCAAAAATATAATATCAACATTCATTATATTTTTAATACCCTAAACATGATATTCATTCAAAATTCAAAATTTTGAAAATAGAATTTCAACATCCACTAAATTTTTTATTTTAAAAATATGATACTTATTATAATTATAAATAACAAAAATTACATTTATTTTATAATTTTAAAATACTAAAAAGGATAATGTAGCCAAAAAATATATATAATTTTGCCGTTAAGTTTGAAATTACAATTAAGTGAGAATAAATTAAGTAAAATTTGTATTTTTTCTCCGAATTCTAAAAAAAAAAATAAAGAAAATAAGAGTTTTGACATTGTTAATCTATTTTCCTTATTTTTGACATTGTTAAAAATATTAAAAAATCTCAAAAATTACATTTCATAAATCAAATTAAAAAAATCGTACTACGAAAAAAATTTGATAAAAAATTTTATTTTTTCCCAATTCAAACCAGCTGGAATAAAAACAACCTCACGTGCATTATTGCCCACAACAAAATAAACAAGTCAAATAATAACATAGCAATAGAAATTTTTTGCATTAATAAAATCTCTGTTACAGCCTTTTAAAAAATATCAATACGATAACTTAAAAGGTAATGCCAGTATTCGGTGAAAATTTGATGGCCACCATGAGTGTTTTTAATTTGCTGGAAAGGAACAAGTGCCTGGGCAGAATAAACAGAAGATACGGTGGCCTAGCCTTATTTCTCTCGATGCTGCTTGGGAGCCTGTATAAAAAAAACAAAGGAGTTCTTTAAAAATTGATAAAAAAAAAAAAACAAATAAACAAACCTTGTATATGAGCAAACACCTTAAATCATTGCAAAGCCACTCCTGTATCCTAAAGGGGGGGGGCATGGTCACATCGTGCATTAGATAAGATACAAACATAACGGGACATATGTTGATACATTCTTCAACAATTTACCGTTAAAACTTCACAGTACCCCAATTCATAAATAATCTCTCCAACGGCAATCGTTAATCACTATCAGCAATAATTCTCCTATAGGCTATAACCATCATTTTATTCTTCTAGCAGTTGGTTTCTGGTTTCTCTAATTCTCTCGGATGAATGAATTTCAATTATTCAAAGTGAAATTTACATCTAAAAAATGAGATTATCAAGATATCTTTGATAAGAAAAATATGGTTGAGAACAAATGAATGTTGCACTTATTTGAATCATCAAAACCAAGAAAGACTCACGATATATTATGTCTTCCCAACCTTACAATTTTTTATTTTTTTCCAAATATTTTTAACTGTTTCAAAACTAAAACTTCAATAAATAATTTAATGTCACAACTTTCTTGATCTTTGGTTTTGAAGAAGACTTTGGCACAACCGCAAGTGGGAAAACAAGTAACATCATGAAAAACATAAAATTTCAATTGCAAGAAATAGGAAATTTTTAGGGAGTAGAGAAATATTATTAAGTAATAAACCTATTATTTAACATCCACGCAATGGTGGGCAGAAACCAAATATGACCTGTTACTTGTTAGCTGGGATAAGGAATGATCCAAAGCGGCGGTGAGAATGAAGAATACAACAGATCTTGCATGTCATCTGACTCGGGGATAGGATCCATCGGAGGATCTTCATCTACAGCCTTCTTATTATTGTCGCAACAGCAGATGGCTGTATCAAAGCCACCTATTCTGTCATAGAAGTCAGCATTGTCATCGGTAAAGTAAATGCAGTTAGACCTACGTTCATAGTAATCAGCAGCCACCACAGAGAAAGTGTAGCAATTTCCCAAAAACAATGACCGATCACCCAATGAAAAATTTTCTCCCAGTTCCTTGTGTATATATCGAGCTTAAAAATCTCAAATTCTGTTGTTAAAAGGTATCTACTTCAACATCTCCTTTAGGTCCGTTGTCAGGAATAACCAGATATGAATCAATTATTCGGGATAGCAAACAAAGATTTCCACCCAAATCAACTAGATATTTCTGATAAGCGGCATCTGTTGGGGGCTGTGAGGCGAATTCTACAGCTTTAGGATGAGATAAATGTAAGTCTTGACATAAAAAAAGCTGACCAGTGTTTCGAGCAGCAAAGAAACTGCCATTGAAACTAATGGCGTCAAAGAATGGAGGGGTAGCATCAATAGGAGTCATGCTTCATCACCCGGTTTTGCAAAAGCTAAGAAGAAAAATTCGGAATATATTGCCAGGACAATACAATCGGGAGAAGCAGGACTTGACGATTATATTAGTTTTTCTATAAGATACAGACACAGTTCTACAGATGGCCGATCTTGCTGGTGGGTAAAGGTATGTAGTGAGGGAAGGGGAAGGCTGGCTCTTGATAAAGGATTAAATAATTGAATTTCGAGATCAAGCCCACAAGTTACCAACCAACCAAAAGGAGACCCCCAACATCTCCTTCCTTGGATCTCTGGCAATTCGACATCAATGAAGATTTCTTCTGATATATTGTAAAAACAACGTTCGTCACTGTTCTCTTTCTCTGCAAGCATCAAACAAATAGGGAATTTGATTTCTTTATCCGTAAGACGAGCTTGCCAAGAACGACAGACTGCGCCCATCCGAATGAGATCTCGAACCGAGCGACTTTTGTCTTGCGATGAGTCTTAAAAGATCATCTGATATATTAGCCCAATCTGGAGCAATCTCTACTGATTCTTCTTTTATTGGAGACATGGTGTGAAAAAGTACTGAATCCAACAATTTTTTTTTCTTTCTAGAATGGTTTGTTGATTTCGACTACAAGACTCCTAACATTCTCTTTTATATAGCAAAAAAATCTCCCAATCTTTTCCTAATCCTGGTAGAAGTGGAATACAATAAGTCACAATGGTTTTTCTTGTTTTTAAGCTCCTAATAATCTACCCTACCCTACTATGGAGCCTATTACGAACTCTACTTTGAATCCCATTCGATTTCAATATCTACAGGACTTAGCCGACAGGAGGAGAGGAATACACGCCCCGAACATGGGGCAACCCTCCCAAGCGCCAAACATCGGGCCATTGAGGCCAAGGCTTATCGGCGTATTTTTTATGTTTTTGTTAAACTCCAATTCTACTTTTGTATTCTAGACACAATTTAGCACGTTTAAAATGTTTTTCTCAAATGCTGCTGTGAATTTTACGACAACTTTTTTAGAAAATTTTTGTAATGTATAGTAATTTTTAAAGAAAAATTATCAAAATTTACTGACAAAAAATTTAAACTCTAATTAGTTAAATGACATAATAAAAAATAATTAAAAAATAAAATGTGTGAACTTTTTAAATTTATTTGCAAAATTAAAAAAAAAAAAACTCTTAGGGATGTATATTTGATGACAAATTCACAATCTTATGAATTTATATCTGACGGCAAATATATTTAAAATTATTTTTTTATTATGTACCATTATATAATTTAGTGACTCTTTATAATATCTATGTACCATAAAATATAAATTAATGTTGAAGAAAGCCCCACTGGCAGCATTGTTTAGGCAGATGTTAATCCTGTTAACATTTCTTCCCACTGGAACCCTTCAAACAAAAAAATTAAGATTATTGCTTCGATTGTAGAAAAAATATCAATGCAACAAAGAGGCATAGGCACATTCCAAACGAAATCAGAATACTGGTATACAAAACACTGCTACAGCTCAACGGCTAAAAGAATGCAAATTTCAGGATTATTTCTGAAATTGCTACTTTCTGGAAAAATGGAAGCCACATCGTTCTCTTGACATACAAATTTACAATGATAAAACTGAGATTAGTTGACAGGCCAGTTTAGGAGTAAATACGCGAGGAACCTTGAATGATATTCAAATGATTATTACACATTTAGTTACAAACACAGACTCAGTTTCGGATACAGGATAACACAACACTACGTTGGACAATGAACAATATTTATGCAATCAAATTCCAGACTACCAGAAAGAACAGAAGCAGAGAATAATGAACAAACAGTTATACAGACCTGTTTTGGGTTTAATCACTATATGCTACAAACTGTTTACCAGATTCATATGCTTCATTTTTGGAATTTAAAGTGGCTTTGCACCACCATTTTCTTGGGTGCTATTCACTGGAGTTGAGCTTCCACTTTTTTTGCTGGAATTCCCTGTTATACTCCTGCCCATGAACTTTCCTGCTTTGCTAAGTCCACTGCCAACAGCTCCAAGGCCACTCCCGACAATCCCAACTCCAGCACCAACACCGGTTCCAACAAGTCCAACTCCAGCACCAATTCCAGTTCCAACAAGCCCAACTCCAGCACCAATACCACTACCCACCATACCAACCCCAGACCCAACCAGTGACACTGCTCCATCAAGTGCATCCATGGTGCTTCCAATAATTCCTGCTTCTTTCAATCTCTTTCTTTCTTCTAGGATCCTCTTCTCTTCTTCCAATGCAATCAACTGTTCCTCCTTGCTAAACTGGTGATACAAAAGCTGAAAGAATAAAATAGATACTATATTTATTATAAAAACCTCAATACTAGTCTGAAGAAAAAAGAGAGGAAATCACCATTCACCAGAGTATCAACAAAAATATAACTAGATGCAAGGCATTCCAATGGTATTGTGGAGGACATCAAATAGGAAAAGCTAGCAGCAAAAGGAGGACGTAAATAGATTTAATGACATCACTAGCAACTAGAATAAAATTTAGCATCTGAACACAAAAAAATAATAATAATAATAAAAAAAGTAATTTTGAAACAAAACCTCTACCTTAATGGTACAGCTTCCTCTGTCCTTCTTATCTTTTACTTTTAGTGTATCAAGTGACGATAGAAGGCTCAGCTTAACCTCCTTTGGTGTCTCTGGTTCCAGTTCAATTAAACAGAATTTCGCAATTCCTAATTTCTTGTCTTGCCCAATGTCCTGATCAAAAACCTGTTTGAAGCCATAATGAACTTTGCATAAACTAACTGTAAATGGTTATATATAAATCATAACATTAGCAAAGAAAGCAAACAAAAAGAAATTCTCATTTCTGATCTCATCAGGAGAGAGGGAGAGGGAACTCTGAACATGACCACACTATACAAAGTTTCCAGGATTCCAAGGTAAATTGTCATTCTGTCAATAAAACTAAAAAATTTGAACTTTCAAAAATTAAAGAACAAAGTAGAAAGGTAAGTATCATAGCATAAGCAAAAGGAGGAATAGAGAAGCTGGTTCAGAACCTCTACAGTTAGTGCCTGAGTCTCTCTGTCTTCTGCAATCAACTCAAATGTTTGATTCCAAACAGGATTCAGGTTGTTCTCAATGACTTTTGTTTTAACCTTGAAGAGAGGTCGAATGTGCACAACCACATAAGGATCAGATTTCCCAATCATTTCCATGTTCTTTAAGTCATTAGCTTTGACAACTGTAACCGTCAGCTTTCCCTCTGGTTTAAGCTCCAATTCACTGCATAGCAAAAGAAGTGAAGTTCATTCAACATAACAAGAAATTCTTGACATTCAAACTGAAACCAATATAAAACTAGAGCTTTTTCTAAAAACTTGCAATTTACCACTCGAAATGGCAGAATAGCATAGAGCCCAAAAGTTTCAGAGTTACCTTGTATCAACTGGAATACCACCAATAGGAACAACAATTCTGTGCGGCCACTGAAGCATGTCTGTGACAATTGTATTAACAGTATCCTACAGAATATGATAGAAGTGGAAAAATTTACACATTAATGAGTGTATCTAAGAATATCAAAACAATCAAAGCATGTGAACATGTTAAATAAGTAAAAATCAAAACCAAGAAACTTACATCAATCATATCTGAAATCCCAGGAATTGCAGTTAAGCTTCCACCAACAGCCTTCAGAGTGTAATCAATTCTAGGCTTTGGCTGATTGAATTTAGAAAAGGAATCAGTGCCTTACAAAACTATAAGAGGTAGATTCATCCATAACTATAAACTGATTACTACACATTTGGCATTCTTCAGAGTTTCGATTAAACCCACTCATTATAAATAGCATTTAATACCAAAAGTTGAATGAAAATAAAGAAAAAGGCGCCAAAATGGTTGGAAAGTGGAAACAATATTCCTTTTAGCCTCATCAAGTAAAGAAACAAATAAGAAGAAGAACGCTAAATGGAGTGAGCTCCGTGGCATCACAGCTTGTACAGCTCACATGGATCGGAAATTAACCAGTTCTTTAGAAGCATCCCTTACAGTATTTTTAACCAAAACATCTATAAAAAACCCCTGTACATTTGCAGAAATCCAGAAATTACTTTAACAGTACCTCAGAAAGGAGAGCAACAACTACTGCAGAAATACAAGGTATCTCTTCAGCAAGTTGGAAGATGACACGAATAACAGTGAAAACTTGAAGATCCTTCAACTGCATCACAGAGCAACACAGTCTAATAGTAAACCAATAATCTGATGTCATAAGATTCAAACTCTAAAGATGGCAAAAGTAATATGATATGGCAGTGTTAAAAAAATAGTTACATTTACATTTAATATACATAGAAAGTTTGAAAGGTTTTTATGCACCAACCTGAATTGGTATTGAAGCAACAAGTGCAGCTTCAACACCTAAAATTATACTTGGATCACCGCCCCACCGAAGATCAATATCCATTGTGATTTGACCTTTCTTAAGGCTCTGAACACGAATACCTGCATTGTAATCATGCAGGTAGAAATGCTTCAAAAGAGGAGCTCACAATAGTTAACAGAGAATTTTTAAAAATAAACGTGAGCAGTAAAATGGTCCCAAACAACCATCTGTTACATACACTAGGCACAGATCATCTTGCAAGACAGGCGCTTTGTGAAAAATCATTGCAACATAAATGGGCACAGACTATCTTCACATTAAATTTAGATCAAGAACTTTGGAATGAAGGGAAAAATGATTTGAATAAGCTAAAAAATAGAGAAAACAAACCACAAAAGTGATTGTAAGAAAGACAATTGTACAATCAAGGCCTCATGAAGCTTGATTATCCTTTCAGCAGATTAAAAGTTTCTTTTCGAGTAAATGATCATAGAACTAGGAAGACATGTATATAGATATGATGTATATATTTATGTAGCATGTATAAGGACTCCTTAGGACTTAAGAAAATGAAATACACCACTAGCTGAAAAAAACCCATAACAATTGTAATTACTGTAATTAGATCTCCTTACTAAAAGATACATCAGTTATTCCAAGTAAAAGCATGCAAACTCCATTGAGCCATACCTTCAATCTTGGGAGCCACAGTGCCAAGAGACAATTTGCTAAACTTTAGTGAAGTAATACCCGAAGGTCTGTATTCTTCCAAGAGTGGTTCAACAGATTCTTTGATCACAATTGATGCTGCCTGAAAATAACACATCAACCAACCTTCGGCTCAATACTTTATAAATTATTTTATAAATCTTTTTATGGAAACCATTTAAACTTATTACAGATTCTTATTGCAAATATATATATATAAAGAACAAGTAGCTTACCTCCGCAACAAAAGGCCATAATTTGCTCAATAGCTTGTTCAACCATTTCACCTACACAACCATAGAATAAGATGGTAAGCCACTACACTGCATGAATTCTTTATAGCAAAAATAAAAGTACATCTTTTCTACACCTGACACATGCAGACGTATCTAGTCTTTAGAGATGCATATTTTAGGCACTAAAAGTCAACGTTAAACATGATTTTGAATTAAACCCAACTGTCTTAAACAAATTGGAAAAGACTGCCCTTCAAGAAAAATGAAATCATAAGCTAATTGTAGATGCCGATTCACAAAAGGAATAGATTTTATTATTGTTTCAAGTATAAGGTATACAACAGGAACAGATCATATTCCAAACTTTCTGTGAAGAAAGAATTTGCACTTTTACAAGTGAATCAGGAGAAAATTGGTTTCTTCAGGTTGAATCAAGTGTACAAAAAGTTCACATATTCTATACTAACAATCACAGTAGCCTAAGAGAAGGTTAACAGGAGTGCTAATTAATCGGACACCATTACACCAACCTGTTCATAGACAGGGAAAGATATCCATTCAGGATAATTATCACCACAAATTTTCTTTAGATCATCTCGGTTGAGAGCCCCAAGAACTTTTATATCAGCTGCCTATCAAAGAAGACAAAAATAATGATTAACAAGCAACTGAAAAGTTGAATGCGTCTAAAAGTTCAAAGTTGACTATGTCACGAGATCTAAATTACCCTAGTGAACAGTTAAGTGTCAATGAAAGTGAACTAAAATGTAGATTCGTTACCTAACTGATAAAGCAAGGGACAAATGCTTTCTCCCACCTTTTTGCATCAAACACTCAAACATATAATGAATTTAAATACAATCCATGAGAACATTGTAAAGTAAGCATAGAAGAAGATGCTGTAAAACCACCTCAAAAGGCTCATTAATTTCTTATTATGGCCCAACCATGTATAATCAGATTGTAAATGAGAATGGTAAATAGTAATAAAAAAATCCTTCTTCTCTTAGGGGATTCTTAAGCCAACACACAGTTCCTTCAACAAAACCCAGAATCAATAACTAACTCATCTACTGATAACAACTGCAAGGTTGTTAATGAGTTGATTCCTTCACTAAGCTATAAAGCTATTACTTATACTCTCAATTCAAAATACAACACCATTTGGCCAGGTTGGTCTTGGTTTGAATCAAATATATTCACTGGCCTCAATTGATAACATAGCAACTGCCTTAATGTTCTGCACAAATTTTCAATATCTCTTAAAGCGATTAGTATGCTTCAAATTCCAATACTTGAAACTATAAGTCCACTTATCTAAAGCACGAAATATTAGGCAGTTAAAACCAAAAATCAAGACAAACAGTTGAAACCATGGCCACTGATGAAGTCTAATAAAATGGAAATTAAAAAAGAATTTACTCAACCAGTTTTCAACAAATGTAAAATTTTCTTTAACTGATTTGATCAAACATGGGTTAACAAAGGATTAAGAAACTTAATTAATCGAGAAACTTAAGCATATGAAGAACTTACAAGGGAATATGGAAAAAAGCATACCTTTGCAATTCTCTTAGTGCTTCGGTACCTCATCATATGACGCCAGCCAGCCATCAATGAAATCCCGAAGACCATCCCCATCAAAACCCCCGAAATCAACCCCATTTTCCCGGAATCCAAACAGAAATATCTTTAAAAAAATAAATACGAATCAAACAAAACGAATTCCAAGAAGGTAAAGAGAGGAAAGAGAGAAAGAAAGAAACATTTGCAGTGTCGAAAATTGTACAGACAATAGGGGATCCGAAAAGAGAGAGAAAATTAAAATTTACGTTTAAAACACTTCGGTTTCCTTTTTCTGTTTCTGAAACTTTCTTACTCCAAATTATGCAGTGATTTAATCTCTCCCTGTGTAAAAAAATAACACTATCGGTTTTATTTTAGTCCAAATGAAAACGTCTTTATCAAACAAGTTGGAAGCGGGCGTTGGCACTGGAAACAAAGAAAGAAAATGAAAAGAAGCATTCGAGTAATGTAGGCCAGGGCCATGAGGGGGAGGATTGGACTTTGGAGGAAGAGTGGAGACAGAGCCTCCTCTTCTTTTCTTTCTAAATCTTCCGCATTAAATTTTCTCTTTTTTCTATTACACGCCTGTCGGTTTTGTTTCTATTAAATTAAAATCTTTTTCAGGAGGCGTGAGTTCCTCAAAAGGTGATTTTGTACTTATACCCCTGTAGTTTTCTCTTCTTTTTTTTTCCCCTTTTGTTAGAGTCAATTGAGTATATATTTGTCTTTAGAGGGAGTAACTAAAAATAAATACTTGCTAAACTGAAAGTGGTCTGGCCGTCCGGATAAGATGACAGAGTTAACATCGGAGGATCGGACCCCTTTCTTACGGCTTTTTGAACGGAAAGTTCAATTTGTGCTTTACTGTGTGATCAATTTGCATAGTAAAATTTATGGGGTAAAAGTTTGCTTACCATAAATTTTTTTTTATAAAATTAGTATTGTGGAATGTTTAAATGATTTTTTTAAATCAATTGATATATTATTAAAAATTAAAAAATTTTTTATATATAATATTTTTTAATTAAAATAAGTATTAAGATAAACAGTTTAAGAGTATAAAAATCAATATTAATTTCTTCAAAAAAATAACTAATGAATTACAATAATTTTTATCCACTCTTGTATTTATCAAAAGAATTGCCTATAAGATTTTAGCATGTTGTGTGAAAAAAAAAAGTTTATTTTGTACAAAATAGAAGAAAAAAAAAAAACTCTTATGGTAGTAACTTTACAAGGGCTTTCGCGGACAGAATAGGACAGCCACTTGGACATTTATGGTGTGTTATATTTGACCTCTAAATTATAGGAAATTATAACTTGATACTTTTGCTTCTAAAATGTGCATAGTATTATTTTTGAAAGTTTGATTTTTTAATTCTTTTTATATGTAAGTTTATAAATGAAAATATATATAATTTAATTTTAATATTTTCATTTATAAATTTATATATCAAAATTAAATAAAATAAGAAGATTTTATTACTTGAATTGAATACATAAAAAATTATATGAATCAAATTGAAGACCACAATTTAAATAATACTTTTCAATTTTTTTTCTTAGCTATAAAGTGGACTACACATTGATACATGAATGATTAGTACATACACCACATTGCATATTTTATAAATATAGATACCATATTTGACAATTTCCTATAATCCATGACCAAATATGAAATTAACCATAATGCCTACATGTCCCAATAATAACGAAGTGATTTCATAATGGTTTTCCTAAACCCCACGCAGGAAAGGTGTGGACAAAAAGTGGCCACAAAGCCAAACAAATTAAATTGTACCTAAACCGTTAAGCTAGGGAAAAGATAAGACAAACGAAATTAATCCATCAATTAAACGATTAATAGGATATTTTCCTTTGAAAACTAACGATTTTTGTCTTCATACTTTGCGCCTATATATTGTTTTCTTCAAATTTAGTATATGGTACTCCATATGATTCATTGCTGTTTAAAAATTACAAAATCAACAAAAAGAATTTATGCCTTCATAATCCTAAGAGAAAAAAGGCCATCCATTGGAAATATGTCCCTAATCCTACAAGCAAACACATCGAACAAGTCCTGATCGGCCGACAACCATGGAACCAAACTACCGCTTTAGATTCTTAGAACATCAAACACCCTGCAACACCAATGAGAAGTGAACACAGCATCGCTCGTGAGTCAAAGCCGCCGCCCATGGCTCCGTTATTTAACGATGGTGACCCACCGGTAATCGTGATTGGTGGAGACTGAGCTAAGTCCCCACCGGGCGGCTCGATGTAGGGAGGAGGAGGAGGCTGGTTGAGGCTGGGGGGCAATCCAATGCCGTGATTGACGAGGATCTCGAATGCCATGCCTTGCTGGCATTGGATACCATCATCAGCGTCTGAGAAGTAATAGTTTGTGCCCTCAATGGTCAACGGCACCGCAATGGTCAACGATTGGCCGAAGTCTGTGTTGCCTCCGCCGTATTGGAAGGTATCGGTGTCTGAAGCATCGTCCGTTACACAGCTCCGATACGTCGTCTCATTGTAGGTCTCGATCACCGTCTGATTTGTACTGCTCCTAAATACTTTGTAAAATTTCAAGGAAAATAAAAAGAGAAATGAGAAAAGGAATAGAATTAAAAATGAAAAAAAGGTGCCATTACTGTTTATTTTGAACATAAAAATTGAAGTTTTGGCGCTTACTGAGATAGTCACCAAGATTGAAAGTTTGATTAGCAGCCCAAGACGAGTAATTAGTGGCGGATGTAATCGTGTTAGAATCGAAGAACCAGCCAGCGTCACCGCCAACGGTGTGGTTGGTGTATCCGGTTGCAACGGTAGCAGTGGTGATGAGGAGGGCGAGCAGCGTGAGATTCAGTTTGGCGTTCGAAGCCATGACTCCCGTTGAATATGAATGTGCGCGTCTGATCTGATTCGCCTTTATTGCTTGAGCCTTGGGGTGTGGGTTTTTGAAAAAGAAAAACGGTCAACGGTAATAGCTGGCGCTTGGAAGCCATGTGAAGGAGGGTGGTGTGCAGTGTGCTTCCTTCCTTGCCATATGCCATGTGGAGCGCGAGAGGTGGGACCCGCAAATGTGCTGCATTTTAATTTCGTCATTCTCCCTCGTCCCTTGCAAGTTCAAATTTTTAATTTTTTACAAGATAAATTTTATCATTCATCACTCAAAATTATAAAAATGTTTTTAAAATATCATTAAATTATTAAAATTTTAATTTATTTACTAAATTTTATTTACATTTTTTTTATCATTCATCTATTAATTTTTAACAGGAACTAATCTCAAAATTATAAAATATAAATATAAAATTTAATTTATTATTATTTTTTATTTTTAATGATATATTAATATAATAATATAACATTAATTATTAAATATCATATGACATTATTGCATAAATAAATTTTTTAATTTATTTTCTAAGTTAACTTGATATTTGTATCAAGCTTCAATTTTATGATTAAATTATTAAAAGATAGATAAAAATGATGATTAAAAATAAATGAAATAAAAAAAGAGTAATAAAAAAAATAAAAGTAGTCAAAATTTATCTTAATAGTGTCTAACACTTTATATTTATAAATAAACAATGGGAGATCATTGAAAAATAATAAGGATAAGATGTAACACTAGATGTATTAAATCAATTTGATATATCAAATTAACACAAACGATAAAATTATTTTTAATTATTTGTTGAAACATAAAAAATAATCATTATATATTATTTATCATAAAATACTCCTATTAAGTGATGTTGTAATACTACGTGATAAATAATGTGATATTATTACATCAATATGTCATTAGAAATTAATAATTGAATGATTAAAAAAATATTTATTTAAAATTTAACCATTAAATTAAAAAATTAAAAAAAAAAATCATAGAATAATCAATGGGATATTTTAATTTTTTTCCTGCTTTTGTTTCTTTCCTGAATTTGTTAGTTAGCATTTGCCATGTAAAACTATAGACTGAATCAGAGGCTTCCAGCCCGATGCCCTAATGCTTTGTATTTTGTATGATCCAAACTGCAATTATTGACACTCTCTCATTTTTGCCCAAGACAAGCCTAAGCCCAACAAATATATGCTATCTGCAAGCAAAATTATTTTCACATAAACATTCATCTTCGGACATGTCCCCTTGTCCAAGTCCTCGCGAATAGCAGCAACCGCACTGTTGAGTCTTCAACGTCACCTTCAGCAAATGAGCAATTACTTCTCCACTTCGAGGGCTGGGGAATGTGTTTCCTATGATGAATATTGGAAATGGATTGATCAATGTACATTTTACATTATTTTCAAGGCTTTTTGACAAATACATTAAAAAAAATTAAGGTTATGCTTGATAAGATCGATGATCTTGGGAGAATTTTGTATCACTTATTTGAAATCCTTTTTTTTTTTTTTTCATGAACTGAACTTTCCGAAATTTTCAACTTTCAAATTTATAAATATATATTCTTATTTTTTAAAAATAAAATAATATGACATATTTTTTTATTAAAAATTTATCACGTCAACATTTGATTAATAATTTTTTTTATCATTCAAAAAAATAAAATCTTACATTAAAGGAGAGAGAAAAAGATTAGAATTTGAACTCCAATTTTGATTTTTTTTTTTAAATTATCTTAATTATTAAGTTAAAGAGTTGAAGATAATATCATAATTAATAATATACTTTACAATCAGAGTTAGACTTTTAACTATATAATTGTAAATTTTTATTTTTTTAGTATCATTATGACAAAAATGATATAAAATGAGAAATAAATAAATATTTATTTTAAAGTTTTAAAAATATATTTTTTATTTTAAAAATAATAAAAAATGTAATTAATGAAAGAATCAGACTTCTTAAATAGAAAATTTTCTGTTTGGTATCAAGGAAATCCGGAGGGGAAAACATTTTATTGGTCAATGGGAAAAAAATTAAACAGCTCTCATCTCATGATGATAAGTATAATATATTTCACTTCGTAACTGCTTACTCCTCGCGTAATAAATATCTTCCATTTTCTTCGCTTATAATATAAGCGTAGATTAAAAGAAAAAACTTTGTCTTGGTTTACAAGCAAACTTTCACTAATAGGTAAAATTATAGAAGGAAAGAAATATATTAAAAATAAAAAAAAGGAAAGTCCTTGGATATATCATTTAACCACCTATTTTCCATTGTTTTTGACTGGGCAACCATAAGGAGGGCCTATTGCCACAATTCCTTGCTAAATCCACCTTCTCTCTCGCGCCTGTTTCATCCTGTCTCTCTCTTTCTCGTCTTCTCCGATTCTCTCTTTCTAATTCCTGAAAGTGCTTCTTCTTCTTTTTTTCTCTAATTTTCTTCACTTTCTCGATTTCTTTGTCGTTCTTACTTTTAATCATATATTCAACGGGAAACTTCAAAGTTGAACCGAACTGATCCATTTTTCGCAGGTAAGTTCATAATCTTCTCCATTACACGTCACATTTTTATATTTTCGAGAATTATTCAAATCAATGACCGTTAAACTCTGATCCGTGCATTAATCGCAATTCTTTTTACTTCAATTAGGATGGATCGGACTTTTCTTGCTTCCTTATATCTCTATTTAATGTTAATTTGTTAATTTCAATGTCAATTGATCGATTCGTCAATGCGAGAAGAGATCATTGTTTTTTTCATATAATTCGGGGAAGTTATATTCGTTTTTGTATTTTTGAAAATTTTGAATGTGTACGCGCTTCATGAGCTAGATCTGCGACTTCTTGTTATATTTCAGTCTTTGATTCAAATTTTGAATTGCTTTTATCTGCGCGATTTGTGTTAGTTAGACTCAACGGAGAAATTGTGTTTTGATTTTTAATTAATAGGGAAAGTGTTTTATCTTCTGTTTTTAATTTCTCAAGTATTATACGGTTCTGTTTGGATTAGTTAATGGAGAATATTAACAAATTTAGATGAGCTTCATGATTCTTCTTCTTTTTGTGCTAAACGAGTTGTTTCGCTTTACAGATATGGTTTTTCAACTTTTAGAGTGTTTTAAGAATTGGAGTGGCGGTTACTTCTCATTCTTTTTTTTTTTTTTTTAATTTTTAATTGTTTTTTGCAGGTGAAATTAACTGTAAATAATTTAAATGAATATCTGCTAGGCATTTAAAGTAATTATACTATGGAAGAAGAAGAAGAAAAGAAGTTTGGTGAAACTTCTGTAAGGGGTTCAGATACTCCTGAAGTAACTTCTGCTGTGGAGGGTAGGATAGGAGGATCTCATCAGGAGAATGTTAATGTTACTGGTGGCGAGGAAGCTGTATTAAGAATTGAAAATGCAGCTTCAAATGGGATTCATTCGGCATCTCTGATTGGGGATGAGGAGCAATTTGAGCATGTATCTTTAGAAAATCAAGATAAAGTTGCTCGGGAGTCTCATAGTGGTCAGGTCGATTCCAATCGATCCTCAAATTCAGACTATGAGAGACGCTCATCTGGCGGGTTTGAGGATTACTCTCAACTTAAAACAAGGACGTATGGGATGGAGTATGATTCCTGCTCAATGCCTGAACCACAGCATGATCGTTCTACTTCAAGTCCTGGACCTGAAAGACAAACAGATCATACCATTAAGCAATCAAGCTCAGCAACTTGTCTTGATTCTGTCTTTTATTCAGATTCTGGATACTCTCCTCTTGGTTCACCAATAAAGCCTAAGCCAAAAGCTGCTATGCCAAATGTGTCTCCTGAGTTATTGCATTTAGTGGATTCTGCCATCATGGGGAAGCCCGAAAGCTTGGACAAGCTGAAGAATATTGTAACTGGAACTGAGACTTTTGGAAGTGGGGAAGATATGGAGAGCATTCCTTTCTTGGTTGTTGATTCACTTATTGCCACAATGGGTGGAGTTGAAAGTTTTGAAGAGGATGAGGACAACAATCCTCCTAGTGTGATGCTAAACTCTAGGGCTGCAATTGTGGCAGGTGAGCTAATTCCTTGGCTTCCTTGGGAAGGAGATAGTGACATTCTTATGTCTGCTAGGACACGGATGGTTAGAGGCTTGCTTGTTATATTACGAGCTTGTACAAGAAACAGGGCAATGTGCTCTATGGCTGGTTTATTAGGAGTTCTTTTGAGGTCAGCTGAGAATATTTTTGCTCAGGATGTTGGCTCAATAGAGCAGATGAAATGGGATGGAACTCCCTTATGCCATTGCATACAACATTTGGCAGGGCATTCACTTAGTGTTATTGATTTACACATATGGTTTCAGGTCATTACAAGAACACTTACTACTGTTTGGGCACCTCGCTTAATGCTTGCATTAGAGAAGGCAGTGAGTGGGAAAGAGTCTAGGGGACCTGCATGCACTTTTGAATTTGATGGTGAAAGCTCTGGTTTGCTTGGACCTGGGGAAAGTCGTTGGCCGTTTACCAATGGATATGCCTTTGCAACGTGGATTTACATTGAATCATTTGCAGATACATTAAACACAGCAACTGCTGCGGCTGCAATTGCTGCTGCTGCTGCAGCCAAGTCAGGAAAATCATCAGCTATGTCTGCTGCTGCTGCTGCAAGTGCACTTGCTGGTGAAGGCACAGCGCACATGCCTCGTTTATTTAGTTTCTTATCTGCTGATAATCAGGGGATAGAGGCATACTTTCATGCACAGTTTTTAGTGGTTGAAAGTGGGAGTGGAAAAGGAAAGAAGGCTTCTTTACATTTTACTCATGCATTCAAGCCTCAATGTTGGTATTTTATTGGATTGGAACATGTATGCAGGCAGGGACTTATTGGGAAAGCAGAGAGTGAATTGAGATTATATATTGATGGATCCTTGTATGAAAGTCGTCCTTTTGAATTTCCTCGTATATCCAAGCCACTTGCATTCTGCTGCATTGGGACAAATCCCCCTCCTACAATGGCTGGCTTACAGCGCCGTCGTCGTCAGTGCCCTTTATTTGCTGAAATGGGCCCAGTATATATCTTTAAGGA